GTATCAACAAAGAATTTGCTTTTGTTTACTTAATATCAAGTAATTGTTCAAAAGTAGAACTTGTTACATTTTTTTATTTTATTTTATAGGTGGAGTAAAAAATCTGCACAATTTTTTTCTTAAACTCGTATTTCACTTCTAAAAACCCATTTAACATCAATTTGGCTTGTACAGTATAATCCCTGGCAAAGATGATGGAATCAACACATCAAATAAGATGTTTTTTTGTTTGTTTTGTTTTGTTTTTGTATTTTTTTTTTCAATTGCAGAATTTTGTAAAAAAAATAAACACTCAACAAACTTTCTAACATTAAGAAAAATTAAAAAATATAAATAACTAGAGACAGGCACAACTGTTTTTTTAAATCAAGTTAAGAGATAAAACTATGAAATCACTCAATTCCAAAGGAGAAAAAAATAGAATCGCAGCACCTTTAGTACTTTCTTGCACCGCTTCCAGCTTTTATACCAGCTTGAATTGTCTGAGGCATCCACTTAAGTAATGAGAAAAATTCTTCATTATCAATCTGACTCCAGTTGTTTGTTATTGCAACAACTTTGCAGTAACTCTTTTTTTTTATAAAGCAGATTTAATCTGATGCAGGAGTTGATTTTTGAAATGCACCTTGGGATTGCTTAATTTCACCTCAGATTTCAGTGATTCTATATTTTCCGTATTTTATTCCTCTACTTGATTTAAAATGTAATTGTGGCTGACTGCAACAAATATGCACTACTGTTAAAGAAATTTTAGAACACCCTAATTTATCTAGTTTTTTAATTTTGATATTCAAACAGCTCAAGTCCGATGAACATACTTGAAAGTGTACAAAAGTAAGTGCTGAACTGCCACACCTCTCCTCAGTTTCTGAGTGCATTGCGATGGTGAAGGAAACTGGACTCACAGGCACATTGACTTTCAAATTAAAGTAACCTTACATTTTTTTAAAAACCCTCTGGCAGTTCAGCCCGTTGTACTCTTTTAAGCTGTTTATTGGACTGCCTGAATTCCAAATTAAAAAAACTGGATAAATGAGGGTGTTCTAAAATGTTTGACCAGTAGTGTATATTTTTCTTCTTTATTATAATATTTCTTAATGCCAGATGATTAGTATTATGAAAACTGGTAGTTTGTGTCATGTCTGTGATGTTTTTATTACAAAATAAGCCATTGTAAATGGTGCCAAACGTAGCATGTAGTAATTAAGTCAGACAAGTTGTATTGAAACTTAGTGGCCTCGTGGTGGTGCTGTTTGACATGAGTTATGTATGTCTCTGTGTAGCCAGCAGTAAGAAAAAGATTGTGTACATCGACTCCCCCCTTCTGAAGACGGAGATGACCGTTAGAGAGAGGAGTCACATCTATCATGAGGAAAGTTTAAAGCTCTCCATCGTAAAGAATGGAAGCGTGAACATCTTCCATGTGATGACAGAGCACCCCATAAGTGAGCAGCAGGTTGCACCGGTATGCTAATGTGCAAATAGACACAACTCTCTTTGAAGTACTTGAGCTATATCACAGCATTTATTCCTTTTCTGTTGTTGTTTCTGTATCAGGAAGCTTCGAAGAGAAGGTGTGTTTCTACAGAAGACATAAGCTTTGACTTTGAGGTAGACCTCACAGATTTAGAGACATTTGGAGAGACTTCTAACAGGTCCCAGCCAAAAAAATGTAAAAATCAACAGGATGATGGGGTTAAAAGTCAAAAAGCTATTAGTAACTCAGTTGTAACTAGGTCCAAAAGATCTGGTGAACGTTATAATGGTAACAGCAGCTCACAGGAAGATATGAAGACCCCTCTGATAAACACAGAGAAACCTACAACAGAGTCAAATCTTCTTTCTGTTAGTGAAGCCATTCCACCAAAGACTATAAGAGTAGACTCCCCCAAAGGTGATGAAGACCACCAAGTCTTTACAGGAGACTCTGATGATGAGAAGCTCGTCATTGATGATTTTGCAACTTCAGCAGCAACACCAACAAAACCGCTCCAGCCTCAGGTTACAATGTGCTCTGCAGACTTTCCTGTTACCTCTGCCCCTGAGTCCGCCCCTGAAAACATAGACTCATCTCCCTCTCATAAGGGATTAAAGACCAGACGACAAACCAAAAGAACAAAGCCCTCTGAGGACCAAGTAGGTGAGATCCTGCGCATGCAAACAGCAATGTTCAAGTCTGCAAATGACACCGCTGCCAACGCTACTAAATCACCAAGTCGTTGTGTCGGACTCCTGCTAAACTCTCATCCGATATCACTGGTGAAACCATGTGTGACCTCATACTTGGAAAGGCACCAGAATGAGGATGGCGAGACGTGTGCTGTGGTTCATGAATCTGTAGCTCTCAACACTAACGCTGCAGAGCAAAAAAGTTAGTATTACTTTATTATTATTTGTTGTTGTTTTATTTTGTGAGCTTACGGATTTGATTACAATACGGTTCTTTACTCCTCCTATTTAGAAATACTTTCAGAAGACCTGCAGGCTTGTGCTGAGGATGCACAAGACTACGAAGCTCCAGCTGAGGGCAACCTGATCTACAAGCTTTACAGTCTGCAAGACTTGTTACTTCTGGTCTGCAGCTCTATGTCTCAGACCTACACAAAAAATGTCAACAGCATGAAGAACCAGGTGCATATAATTAGTTCCAACTTGTTAATTTCATATAATGGCTTAGAAAAAGACCCTATTCATCATAATAACTCCTCAAATTTTCTCTCAACAGTATGTGCCAGTGCATGTCGTGCCTAAGCTGGAGTACCAACTTTCTTATGGAGTTGAATGTCTGACCAACAGTGAGGCATGCCAGCTGTGGACTGAGACGTTGCTTCACTCCAGCACGGTGTCTTATATAGGTACAAATCTTCATCCCCTAACTGGTTTATTCACCCCTTGTTTATTTCATACCTTTCAGGTTCTACACAGTTTGTTCAATTAAATAATTTACCTCCTGTCCATCCCCTCTCTGCTCTGGTGTCCCACAAGGTGCTGTCCTCAGCCCCTTTTTCCACTTAGCAGTATCTTTCGAAAACACAATATCTAATTCCAGTGTTTAACGGATGACACCCAGCTCTATCTGTTCACCACCCTGCTCACTTTCTGAATGCCTTTATGATAACAGTTCCTGGTTCACTAACAGCTTCCTTAAAACTAAACAGTGACAAAACTGAATTTATTCTCATTGGAATAAATTCAGTTTTGTCACAGGGGCGGCTGTGGCGGAGTGGTTAGGTGAGTCGTCCTGGAACCAGAAGGTCGCTGGTTCGATCCCCCGTCCAGCCGTCTCAGTCGTTGTGTCCTTGGGCAAGACACTTCACCCACCTTGCCTACTGATGGTGGTCAGAGGGTCCGGTGGCGCCGATGTATGGCAGCCCCACCTCTGTCAGTGCGCCCCAGGGCAGCTGTGGCTACAGTGTAGTTTGCCATCATCAGTGTGTGAATGTGAGTGTGAATGGGTGAATGTCTGTTAGTGTAAAGCGCTTTGGGGTCCGGAGGGACTTGAAAAGCGCTCTATAAGTTCAGTACCATTTACCATTACCATTTAAAGCTAAACCCTTGCAAAATCCAGCAACGTTTCTTTTCTCAATGACAGCACCTCAGTTTCCCCGTCCCCTATGTTAGGAGTCTGGGTGTCATCCTAGACAACACACTATCATTTAAATCCCATATCAGCAACATCATTCGTTCAGCATACTTTCACCTCCTTAACATCACTTGTCTCCGTCCATCCCTCTCACCCATTGGTACTGCCATTCTAGTTCTCTCTTTGGTCACATTACATCTAGATTATTGCAACTCCATTCTTTTTGGTTTACCTGCAAAATCCATCCATAAAGTCCAACTGGTCCCAAACTCAGCTGCTTGCATTATTTCCAGAACCCGCGCCATCAGTCATACAACACCTGTCCTACAGCATCTTCACTGGCTCTCCATTAAATATCACATCTCCTATAAAATGCCTTTCACATTCAAAGCCCTCAATAACCTTGCACCCCAATATCTCCCAGAACTTCTCCACATTAACACACTCACCTACAGTCTCAGGTGCTCCTCATCTACCCAGTTTACCCAACCACCAGCTCGTTTGGTCATTATGGGCTCAAGAGCATTCAGCACCCCACCTCTGGAACACTCTCCCCCTGGACATTAAAAACTCTCCCACCATCTCCATTTTTATTTATTTCCTTTATTTGATCAGGAAAGTCCCATTGAGATTAAAAACCTCTTTTTCAAGGGAGTCCTGGTGAAGAGGCAGCAAAAATATATACTGTATTTGCATAGAGTTGCACAATTAAAAGACAATACAAACAATCACTATTAAAAACATTCACAATTCAAGGAAGTCATCTCTAATGCCCTCAATCTGGACTTAAAGGGGCTCAATAGGATAAGTTGAGTTAACTTCTAGTCTTTTTGCAACATATTCCATGTAGACGGAGTAAATAAAGGCCCTTTTTCCCAATTCTATGCGGAGAAATGGGACAGAGTGCAAGAAATGATCATTTGAACGCAAGGAGTGTGAATCAATGCTTTTACATGTGATTAGAACACAGATGTGAGATGGTAACAACCCAAGCAAAGCCTTATAAATAAAAGTTATCAATGTCCCAACCTTCTGGTGGACAAAGAAGGCCATCCCACTCGAGTGTCCAGATCACAATGATGAGTCAAGGCTTTCGTAACAAACCTCAAGGAACAGGATAGACATCATCAGTTTTTTTAAGATTTTGTGCTGAGGCATTCATATATAACAAGTCTCCATAATCTAAAATGGAAAAAAAAATGTCGCTGTGACAAGCCGCTTTTTAACCTTTTTAAAAGAAAAAATTATTTTATTTTGAAAAAAGAAGCCCAGTTTAAGTTTAAATTTCTTCATGAGATTTTGAATAAGGGACTTAAAACGGAGGGAGTCATCAATCAAGAACCCTGCATTTTTAAATCACAAATTAAAACTCTTCTTTTTAAACAAGCATATTCAGTTTAACCTTCATCTCTTAGCAACTCTATTTAAGTTGTCTTATGTATGATGTTTTATTATTTGTTGTTGTTTTTTTTGTTTTTGTTTTTTACTGCGTTTTATATTGTATTTTAGTGTATGGTGTCCTGAGTACCTTGAAATGTGTCTTCAAATAAAATGTATTATTACTATTATTATTAAATCGTATCACTGTAGATTCTCAGAGTCGCTAAAGGAAGGAAAAGCCCTTGAGTTCCAAACTTTTAAATAAATGTAAAAAAAAACCAAGGTCTATATTTTTCTCCCTTCCCTGGGTCCAGTGGAAACCATGAGGCAAATCCCCCCACCAACCAGCAGTGATCACTGTATGACTCACCATCCTGCAAGGACTGTGTGGTGGCCAAGTTTACTTTGTTGCCATGGCTACAGCCACAGCTTCAATTACAAAGACTGGAATTTGCAGAACAAAGTTTAAAAGTCTTTTTTTAACTTTAGTTAAATGGCCCTAATTTATATCGTCATCCTGTATATCCTGTTGCTTCAGATGGGGTTAAAGCCTCCGTCTTTTTTTGTGTGTAGCATTCACTGAATTGTTGACTTTGTATAGGAGTGGACTCACACCAGAGGGTGGAATGTCATCTCTTTAGCATAAAGTTCTTTTTTTTTCCCCAAAAATGTTTTTAAAATTATTCCCTCTTAGAATATACCCTGCTATGGCTAAATGTTCTATTTCTAATTGGCTTGTAAAAAATTTTTTTTTCCAATGAGTACAGTGGTGTAAACTGTTCTGATTTATGTCCTGATGCATCTCAGTAATCCAGGTAAAATATCAAAAAGAAAAAAAATTGTGTAGGACTAAAAGGAAGAACCCGTCCAGAAGACCTACACATTTTTTTTCTTTTTGAGTTCTGATTTATCCTAATTTTCCAATGTTGTCTCACCAGCAATATTCTAAGAAAAACAGTAGTCAAAGAGGAAATATTGGCATCATTTCAGCAGTTTGAAATCTTAGAGAACATCTCCTTGGTTACCACATTGTGCAACAAGAATAGAAAGCAAAGCCTCCCCTCTTTACTCAGTGGTTTTTAGTTCATTAAAAGGTTTATCATGTGGCATTCCACATTTGTGTGTTCATGACTGTGGTTGTAGATTCTATAAACACTCCATAAGCGAACGGTTTGTTGAAATAGGCATGCCTTACCGGCTAGAGGAAAGAAAAATGGGACCAAAAATCTTATTACCACCACCACCCACTCTAGCCTTCCAGAGTGTTGGCAAATCACCACAGAATAATTACTGTAGAAGAACAGTGAACAGCAAGAATACTGAGGCGAAGCTCTTGATGGTTCTTCATTCATGTTGTTCCCTCAGTAAAGCTTTCACCTTCTCTCTGTGGCTCTGTAGCTCACATCAACGCACTCACATCAAAAGTGGCTCTGCTGAGGAAGCTGCCTGACGACTGGAAGCAGAACGTCTCCTGTGGGTTCAAGTGAGTTTTGTTACATCAAATCTGTGACTGTGACTAATCTAATCAGCTCAGAATTGCTACTTTTCTGAACAGCTAGAGGTTACTGTTCTAAGATTCACTTTTGTTTAAACTAATCCAAACTATTTTTGAAGCTAATATAGGTTCTCAGGTTGGGTGATTTTTCTACAGAAATCAAAGTTTTTAATATTGATGTCTTGATAATTTTTCTTAAACTTTGTACAAGCATTTCAGTTTTGACTGGGTACTCACTGATACTGAGTACTTAGAATTTAAATATTATAAAATAGCTTTAAAAACAAATTTATTTTATTTAAAACAAAATGGCTCTCCTTCCTTATAGGCCCACAGGTCCAATGTGCAATGTTACGACCCGGCTCAAGAGCCATAACATATGGGAAGACACGACAAGGTGGAATCAGTTTAAAACCTTAAAAGGTATTTATTAAAGTCTTTGTCTAGGATTAGGTGAGTTTGTTGGCCCGGTTTGGAGCTCCGTAGCTCCCGAATGCACCGGACATCTCTCACCAAGCTGGACCCTCTGAAGTCTGTGGTCCAGGTTTACGT